CAGTGGGATCTGCTTTGGCCCGCTACCTGGGGCCGGGCAGCGGTAGTCTGACTTAGGCCAGCAGTGGTAGCTGCTTTTGGCAGCGTGGTAGTTGCCAAGCAATGGTAGCGTTTAAATATGCTACCGGGGGGGCCGGACAGTGGTAGCAGTCTCAGGCCAGCAGCGCTAGCTGCGAATCGCCGTTGGCCATGCTAGTGGCCATGGCAACGGTACCATTTTAAGTATACACAATTAGCAGCTTAGTAGCCAACTAGTACCTGTACACCCTCGGTCATTTAACTCAATCTCATCTTATGTTTTTATTATAGGCACGGGCATCCACGGCTCGGTGGCCCATGCCTCTCCTTGGCATATCGCGGGATAATCTTGGACGAGACGTTAAACCCAATTTCACCACACCTCACCAAAAGAGGTTTAAATTTAAAGTTTTTATTCTTTGACTGCATATTTCCATTGGTTAATACATCAATGTTTGTCTCATCCAAAATAACATTAAGTTTCCATGTATTAGTTTATTTATCAAAGTTTGTAAACATTTCACTGTACTTGAGAACATAATCATATTTGCAAATTGTAACATAAATATTTTTTTATAAGTTCACGATGTAATTGTATACCATCGTCAATATTTCTTTTGATTTGAGATGCAGCTCATTAGTTACAAAGACAGAACAAAAAAGGGCTTATAATTAATACACCAGTATTGCAGATAAAAGAATCTGAATATGTGAGTTTCCTCCCGTTGGATACGGTTGTTATTACAGCTCCCACAAACATCAAAGGAAAATATATGAAAAGAATGGTTTATAATTGAAAAACTCCTCCACAATATGCTTGGAGGTGTTCAGATTAATATAGAGAGAGCCCGGATCGGATGTTTTCAACAGCAAAGAGGATACAAACAGAGTGACAAAATTCTACCATATCGATCAACATCGCAATCGACGCCAATGACAGACACTGTCATACTGTACATACTACTTTGCAAAGAGTTATTACACTCGATCTACACTTCAGGCATGAACATTGCAAACAACGCAAGCTTCATATGTTCTGACTTGAGTATGTTTGAAACCAGAATAAACTTTCATATACATGTATCTTATTACAATCGCACTCTTTTGTTTGAAAAAAAACAGACTACTCTCGAGACAGCTATTAGTTCAGAAGTAATATGTTGTTCACAAAGAGAAAAAACTTGGACCTGTATTTTAGTGAATACTAGGAAGTGATCACTTCCGAAAGCATCGTCTTGACATATATCCCAGTTACATTTAGAATTAATGAGGATATAATCGAAAGGAGAAAACATCCATCTCCTCAAATTCATTTTGGTCATTCTAACATCATTCAAAACCACCAGTACTGATTCATCTTAAAGGTTTTCAACACCTGTTCCGTTGTAATCTGTTTTATTACTTGGGACTTTCTTTATATTCACAGAAAATATTTGAGACAAGTGGAATTAATACCATGTGGATTCTCAAAACCTCAAAGGATTCACTTGATTTTTTTAAGTCTCAGAAAAGAACCAAGTTCCATTCTGTCAAAACGTTTGATTTTTTCAAGTTTGTACACCACTATCCACTATGACAAACAAGGAAATTTTCATTCCTTGATCCATGAGGCTTTTGTCACAAAACGTGGTGACCACAGATACAGTTAAATATCTATATATTTAGAGGTTCGGGGCAATTTGTGAAAAATGAAAGCAAATTCCATCTGAAATTTACTGAGAAAACAATATGAGAAATGCAGGACTTCCTTATTGATAACATCTAAAATTTGGGGGTAAGACATTCAGGCAAGAAGTAGGGATTCCCACGGGCACCAACTGTGCTCCCCTTCTTGCGGATCTGTTTCTTTAGGCATATGAATCGAAAGTCAAAGCAAGGTAATTTGGCTTCAGGTATATCGATGATTTGATATCGTTGAATAACAATCTAATAGCCAGTTCCCTTCCACTGATTTACACACCTGAACTAGAAATGATGGAGACCAGTGAGACCGCCTCATCTGTTTCTTATTTAGATCTATGGATATAGATTCAAAACACTCGCCACAAGACTGTACGACAAGAGGAATTACTTCAGCTTTCCAATAGTCAACTTTCTCCTCATGTCGAGCAATATTCCAGCCTTTGGTATTTACATTTCACAACTTTTGAGGTACAATCGAGCATGCTCTTTCGACCAAGATTTCAAAGAGCGTCATACGAAATCTTGCTCACGAGTTGTTGATCAAGGTTACAACATTCAAGGCCTCAGTAAAGCTTTCACAAAGTTATATGGTAGACAGGTGGAGGACATTTCCAAACTTGACGCAATAGTGACAAAAAATATGTCCGATGCAATTCCCTATTTTGACCTTATGGTCCCGTGCTTTTTCAGGTGACTTTCCTTTGAACGTGCTTGTGACGGGTGCCACCGGTGGGGCAGGAAACGCTCACCTTTTCGCGAACACCTGGTATCATCATTATTTAATAGTGATTCATAAACACATGCTCTTTAAATAGTCCGAAGTGTACACTCGACCTTGCTTTTGGCAGATATTTCTTATGAATATGGAAAAGGTTTTGTCTCACATTTATTAATGTTACTCTATTAAAATGTTATTGGTTGGAGGAGAAACATCACTGTTGCCAGCTAAGGCAAATGCGTAAGAGATACCACGAGAGACCTTGACAATTTGAGTGGCTTCCACAGACGAGACATTGTTTTCAATTCGGACTCGTTGAACAGACACTGCTTCTTTATATTTTTCAAGGCCTTGGTAAGCAACACTGTGATTTCCTCCACAATTTCGACACTTGGACACACCACCAGCCTTACAATTTCCAACCTTAATGTCCCCGCTACATCTTCTACATACTGGATTTTTACTCTTACACCGCGATGACACGTGGCCAAACCGTCGGTGTTTCTTCAATCAAATGTATTAGCAATATCCTCATCCCCATTCCCCTCATTTTCGCAATCCATATTGAAGTGGTTTACACCCAACAACCGTCAGTTATGCTGACACTAATTTAAACCTACCTCGACGATATTATATCCTGTTATACCGCATAAGAACGAAATTTGACGATCTCTAACCTAAAATAATAATTAAAAAGCGACAGCGACCGTCAACACAGACCTCGCCCCGACAGTCTGAAGCCCCGACCCGTGAAGATTCCGGGGTAAATAGGTCTTCAGCAACCCATCCTTGCCGTAAAAGGCGACTATGCCCGTCGTAAAAGGCGACTAACGGGATCGGGTGGTCAGGCTCGCTGACTTGGTTAATGCATGTCATCGGTCCCAATTGCGTGGATCAATGATCATGATATTAATCACTGGATTGTCTGGTCCAGACTCGATTATTTACAGACCGCCGCCATATAGCTGGAATATTGCTGAGTGCGGCGCTAAACAACCAACCAACCAACCAACCAACTGAAGCCCCGATTTTCACCGAAAATGATTTAAATTTAGCTGCCCTTTCCCTGGAATCGTCGTGATGAGACTGTTACTTCAAGGCTATCAGAGCAACACTAGCGCGAGTTGAGGCCTTTACGACCCGACTTTCGTCATATACACTTGCCAAGTGGGAATTGGATACCTGAAAACACATAATTCCTACAAGCTGCGGCCTCACACCTGACCCATTGTATTGCCTCTTGTAATTTCAAACCTGCAATATGTATAATGCTTATAAATTGTATGTTGGGCAACTCACTCATATCCAAGCATTCGGCATATGACTGCAGCATAGTTTCTGCCATAACCGCGATCACAGACAGTTCCCCACGTGTCATTAATTCTCACTTCCAGTCGCCCCTCATTGTCAGCCTTGCCTCCGACGAGTCTGACATTAGAGTATGTTGTTTGCGTGCGATCTTCAATTGACAGAATCAGTGGTGTATAGATTACATTAAGAACTATATCTGCGTGTCGTAAATAATTTGTATTAAAAAAGAGTATTAGGTAATGGGATTCTTTTAGAGACTTAATGCTTTCTGTCACAATCTGTAAGGGGTCCTCAACACATTGTATATCATGTCCAGCTAACAATTAGTTTGTCTTTGTATTATTTGCTTCAGCATTGTCCGGTCTGTTGGTCCCTTAATTTATTATCCGATTTTCATTTTAACTGGAGATGAAAAGCATAGAGCCGTCGAGCTGCTTGACCTGGCCCAAATTACCATGAGGATGGTTATCAATGTTATCTATGACAAGAATGTGAACATCAGTCGTACTAAAGTGTCCAATCTTTTATGTAAAAGTTCTATTTTCTCGACGGAAATAACAATGTTGCATTTTCAATTGCATAATACCATTGTACTTACAGATATGCCCAAACAGTTGCACTCCAGACCATTTTTCTCCAAGAATAGCAGGGACAGCTTTAACAGGATAACTCTTATTACCATTGATCTTTAATGCACCTGCAAGAAAGACAATTTAAATCCGAATTACACGATCAGTCAACGCTTATATCAGTTTACGCATTGAACGAATTACGAACTGTATATCTGGCTTTGATAACAGTTTTACCTTCCACAACAATTCCAACACCATTCATGAAACGTAGAGTGACTCCTGCCTCAACAATTAATGTCTCCAGCTTCCCAACCACAATGTTATCAGTCACCGTGTATGGACTCGCTGCGTATGTTAGAGTCACAGTCCCTCCTATGCTGCCACCAATCCTTCCATCAGCTGCAAAAAAGGTCCTGGCAGGGAACTGAAGATCTGTCAGGTTTGAGAACCTATAAAGGGGAATAAATTGTATCTTTGGGAGGGTCTCGTCATACGACCAGTCATATATTCGCCTTGATATCTCCTTTACGTCTGTCGTTCCCCAGAAGTTGTGTGTACAGTTTATCTCTAGTCCTTTATAACCGGATCCCTCAAATTTAACATCACGCCCTGTCCCATTAAGGAATGAATTATTATTAAGGGTGACAGTTGGAGTCTTGAGAACGACCGTGGTTCTGTTGAAATGGTTGTTCTGGACAGCAAACACTTCACCATCTCTGCCAGACTCCAGTGAAACACTACCACCATTAAAAACATTTCCAGCGATTTCTGTGAAACCATCATCTGAACGTTGAACGTGAATCGTCATTGCTCACATTGGGAATTGAAAGGTGTTTTCCTTTATAGACGCATTTCCGATGTTTCCTCTCATGTTTAAACTACATTTGAACATGTTCTGTTCCAGTATTAAACCCCAAGGAAGCGAGTATCTCGGAACACTGAGATAAACATCACCATTCTGTGTTTGGAATGTGTTGTTCACAAGTATAACATCATGTGCATGTGCAGTTGTATAATCATACGTATTTCCTGCATCTAGAACATGACGATAGCAATCACAACTGAAGATAGAATCCTGGATTTTGATTGTACCTTGATAAGAGTCTGGCAGCTGCTGCATGGAAGTGGTCAAGGATGTTAATCCCTTCACGTTTATTCGTCTTAAATGTATGTTCAAGAGCCGGGCAGAAACATCAAGAGAATCATGATTATTTACATGTTCAATCTTGGAGTCATGAAGGCTCATGGTAACATTTGACAAGCATACGATTTTAAGCACAGTCCATGCGGATGACAAGTGTGACGAATAAAGACTAACGTTGAACTGGCCCGTACGTGACTGTAGATCTATGGCAAACCTGACAACATGAATACTACTATGCCCAATAGCTACTGATACAGTGCCAACACCCAGTGCGTCCAAATACAAGCCCCGATCGGAATCATTCATTTGCACTCTTTCAAGGGAAAGAACGAAATCAGACCAAAATCGTCCCCTGATAGAATATGTGCACTGTGTTACTGTGATGTCTGTCAAGACCAGCATTCCAGAGCGTTCAGTAAACAAAGATATCCCAGTAGTTGCTTGTCTCAATATGGTGTGCTCAAGTGATGACCCTGAAACAAGAACAACGTAACAGTTGTAACAGTACTGCATTTTCAATGAAGATCGCAATGTAGTTCGAATGTTATATTGTCTAATAATAAGAGAGAAGGAGAGAGTGCAGTCTTATATTAGACGCCAATGTTGTATATGTATTAATTCGTTTTAAAAACGCAGCGCGTTAGAAATATTTCTTAGCCAGCTTTATTCAGGCCTTTTCAAGAGTTTTATCAAACACTTGATGTATGCTTTCTCGTGTTGCTAAAGTTCTACCTCTTCTGGATGTAAACAGCATTATTTGTTTTCATTAGACTTTCAATCATCATTCCAACACTAAAATATCGATCGTTTCTGTAAGTCATGTGTTCTAACAAAATAACATCAGTTAAAAGCAACATCAAGATTCCTTCAACACCTGAAAAAGTTGAATCTCATGTGTACCTTTACACATAACTTCATTTGACATTACTCATTAACGGATACTGAAAACATGTGTACAGCCTTGATTTTGACCGACTGGTTTACTGTATATCAAATATACTTAACCGCAAAAGAAACGTCACCGTGGATAGATATATGAGAAACCTTATTTGTCCAAACACTGTAAACATACTTTGAGACATATTAAAAAGATTAAACTTGTCAAAACTGATCATCGAGGTTAAAATTAAAGTGTCAAATTTTCTTAAAGTGAAACACAACACTAGTCCCTAAGAAAATGGCATCACAAGTCGGTATCTCGTGTGTCCGCCATGTGCATTGATGACTGCCGTGCAACGTCGATACATGGAATGGATGAGGCGGTTGAAGAAGGCCATTGGCACTTGAGCCCACACTCTGAGGAGTGCCTGAGACAAATCAGCTGCACTTGTCGGCCTTGGTCGGACGTCATTCAGCTGGATTTGAATCTCGTCCCACAGGTGCTCAATGGGATTTAAATCGGGACTGAGGGCAGGCCACTGCATGGTTCTGATGTCATTCTGCTGGAGGAAGTCTCTTGCTGCTCTCGCAGTGTGGGCACGGGGTTATCGTGCTGAAATTCGTGGTTGCGGCGACGTGCCAAATGAGGTGGGGGGTGTGGTCTCAAGACTTGATCAATTTACCGAGCTGCTGTGACACCATTGCCTCTCCCTGGACCGATGTTCTGGAAAACCACAGGGCCGACCCTCTAGCATGTCCCCATTGTCTGTCGAGCAGTTTCCATAGCAGTAAACAAGCGCTCTTGAAGATGCTGTCGCACAAAGTGAGGGTCATCTGTAGTGTTGGTGGTCTGGTACCGTTGCTGGAGCCTGTATATGGCCCTTATGTGGCTTAGATACTTGGACTTGGCATTGGCTACTTGTTGGGCGCTTTGTCCAGCTTGCAATCGTCCAAGGGCTTGGTGACGCTGTCAATCTTGACATGTGGTAGCAATTTAATTGCGAATGAATGTTATCAGATCTGGGTGGATTTTTATAGGGCAAGAAATGGGGGGAACGCAAGTGCATTTCAATTTGCACAGAACTCACGTGCATCGGGTTACCATGGTTTGGGTGATCGGTGTTATTGTCATCTCCTTTGTTTTCTTATCATCAAATTTCATTTTTTTCCGGACAAGGTAACCTTAAAATTTTTAGAAACTTTTGACAAAAATTACCCAGATATTTAAATGACAACTTTTCATGCAATGTTACTTGGGATGACGTTTCTTTTGCGTTTCAGTATATATAGAAAACAGTCTCGTCTATCCACCATTAAACGCGGTGAAAATTATGTGAATGAATCACTGTAAAAAAGGGTAAGTATGTCTTGCCTACTAGCTACACACGCCACTCACACAATTGCACAAAAACAGTAAGGATATGTTGTTGCCTGTTAAAGACGTTAGACACAATAAGTGAAACCAACTACAACGCTCTGAGATGTAACATGAAGAGAGTGGATAGTATACTTGTACCGAACAAACAAGAATAATACCTTTTCCATGCTATATTTTGTTGTAGCAGGGGTAGGCCTCAAATGACATGATTTACCATCACTATAAAACAAATGCTGACTCCTTGAAATACATTAACCTAATAGTGTAATTAAACTTACTTTGTAGTATTTATGACTATTTACATTTGTTAACTACATACAAGCAGGTGAAAAAAGGACCAAAAATAGAATCGAGGGAAAATAGCAACATATTTAATGTGGCTCGTGAAGCAAAGGAGCATGTACTCATGTAAATAGTTATTTAGAAGATCAAAACCCACTACAGAGCCACCATTTTCACGCATAACGTACAATAACCACCAAGCAACATAAATATAGAAAGATCGGTATGTCTCCACGCAAAATATTGAGTATTTGCATGCCCAAAGAAAGCTAGGGCTGTCCATCCTGATACCTGAAAAGGGAGATAACTCATTATCTAGATATAATCAATCATATATTATGCTTGTCATTGAGTATTGTTAGATATAACATAATAGGCAGGTTTTATGTTCTACAATGCTTTCTGTTTATCCATTAATATCAATTATTTAATCATAAATAGCTATGCTTCTCGTACCAAAAACGGAAAGAAAGAATATTTTAGAAATTCAGGGAGGAGACTAAAATGTGCCCAGTTAATAAAACTCTACACACTGTTTTTCTGAGTCTGGAAATTCAGAGATGCACTGAAACAGTTATATTGTATTACTTATCGGCTCATGTTTGGGTAGGATACCAAAGGTACATGTTGCAGGTTTCCACAATTATAAACGGACACGTCGATGCTTCTTCCACCAATTATGGAGAAGACAGGGCGCGTCAAGGGAGGTAATTCGTCACGGTAAGCTTGCGTGCAACGGCGTGAATTGAGGTGCGCACGAACTATTGTATCCATCGTCTTTAAATCATTACTTCAACGAACAAACAATCTGATGCTTGCATTTTACATTTGAACATTTTCCTATCTGAACATGCTTTGGTAAGCATATACATACATGTAGCTTATGTCGCTTAACACTATCAAAATCCTTGTGGAATTGACAAATGTAATATTGAGTTAGAACACTTGAACAAAAGCAAATGATCAAATTCTCCTTTTACGAAAACTGGCTTCGGTATCACATTTGTATGTCACCCGTCGAATCTCAATTATTTGAAATATTTAAGGGTTTTATGTCTATGATGTCAATCAATAAATTTATTCATCTTGGTACCTGTAGCATAGATGAAGATACCGCTCCAGAGTTGCAAACTGTCAGTGCTGTCACCTCGAAGTTCAACCTTGCCGTCTGCCTTCCCGCGAGTTGCTAATATACCTAAAACAACAAAGGCTTTACACATCAAAAGCGGTAATAGGCCTAGTTAATACTTTCCTAAAGAAAGGCAAGGAGTGCTTTCACATGAAGACATTATGACATGTATTATAATAGTTTTCAAAGAAAATCGATATTACATGGCACAACACAATGTAAATCGGCCAAAAATGATATATTTTTTAAAACTCAATTGTTAACAGTGTTGTTTTTACATGTATATATCACAAAGTTGTTGCGGTGCAAAGTCACTGAGTGACCGGTCTTCAAACCCACTAACATACATTTCTGACAAGCCAAAGGGGCGTAAATCTGTCCCCTCTCAACAGTTCCCGTATATTTATTTCATCATGGTATTAGACTATAATTTTCTTGTCTTTTCGAAAGAAATTATATTTGAAGACTTTGAAACTTGCGAAAATATTTATTAAAAACTTAAAACACAGTAGGTTGATATTCTTTATCAAATTCAAGCTCAAATGTTTGCATTTATTCTTAGTGGTATTTAGGTTCGACACAAAACTACTGCAGTACAACATTACCGAACAAACATGATAAAACATAAACATTACGAACCTTTGACGACAATACCATGTTTGTTTGGAAATACCAATGTAGTATTCTCTTCAATGGTTAGTTGCATCCCAACTGGAATGAACAGATTTCTGTTTACGTACAAAAGTTCATTTGGTGGAAAAGTGATAGAGTCATTCAGTATTCCTCCAAGCGTGTTTTCTGTTTCATTATAAGAGAACATGTGAGAGTCCACCTCAGGCGAGACATCAGAGAGAAGCTGAGAAACGTAGAACGGATGCACTTCAGCCATCAATTTCGAGACATCACAGAAAAAATCACATATTCTGGATCGAACAAAGAACTTGTCATTGCTTCCCCAGAAATTGTGACTTGCATTCAACCACTGGTCTTCAGCATAGGATACATCAACAAACACATCGTACCGTGCATGGGGATTCAGGAAGACATTGTTGTGGATTTCAACTCCAGCGTTCTTTGTGTGTATCACTGATGTTGTTGAACAATTTATGAACCAGTTTCCGGAAATGATAGCGTTACTTCCATTTCTTGAGGTAATGTCAGTGTACAATGCTGAACGTTTTGAGAAAATATTATCTTCAATGAAAACTTTTGCTGGAATCTCTGTTGAATGACATTGAAGACGCATTAACGTGTAAGGAGAAGCCGTCTTTGTACCTTCCAGTGTGTTACCTCGCAATACTATTGTTGGCACGGTTTTTAATAAATAGGCATTAATATGGACACCGTAGTGTCTATTATTGGTGAAGTGAGAATTTATAATAGAAATTTGCATATCTGACACTGGTTTATGAACATCTAGGAGCAGTCCACTATTTTGGTTTTCTGTAAAATAAGAATCCAGAAAGGTCATGTTCATTTGTGTCCCATATCTTGCAATATCTAGAGCAAAACCGCTTAATCCATTGTTCTCAAAGGTACATCCCTTTATCATAGTACCCATACCTCCATTGTAGTAATGGTATATCCCATAACGTCTGTTATGTGATATTCTACAGTTCTCAGCAGACAGGACTACTTCTCTATCGAATGTCAGGCCATTATTTCCATTACGCAAGATATCACAGTCTTTCATGCCAATGAAGTTACTTCCTCCATCCCAATATCTCCCGTAAATTCCCTCCACTGAATTGTCTGACACGATGGTTCCAGACAGCTGAACTCTAGTTTGGTTTGTACCTCCAAGAAGTAAATATAGTCCTCTGTAGTTATGGTGGATGTGACAATGCCTTAAGGTAATGGAAGCCAGAGATCCCTTGATGCCGGCGACTGCTCCATATACGTTGCTGAATTCCATTGTCAAATTCCCTGAAAGTATGAGTGTATAATCTTGACCATCAGTGGACGAATTAACCTTTTATGCACAGTCTATTGTACGATTCTGACTATATCACGAACATGTGTTTAAGAATCACTATGAAACAGTGGTGATGCTAGGTGTTCTCGATAATGTGAGCGTATCCTGCCCCACCGGTCTTACCTACGACAACCACAAAAAAGTTAATTGTTCACCTGAAAAATACACACCTGAACACAAGCTACAAATCAGAATAGCGAATGACATCATACATCAGTTTTTCACTGATGCATGCCCTCCTCATGTGTACTAAAACACATTTTGGACGCTTTACTTAGGCATTGAATGTATTTGCCCTGATTAAACAACGTTAAAGCAAGAGTCGTTGACGCTTTTTGGAATCCAACAACAAAGATACTCGAGTTTACGTCATAAGTTGTGAAATGTAGACACCAAAGGCTAGATCTGCTGGATTATTGCTCACCAAAAGTTACCTATTTGAAAGTTGAAGTCATCTTTTTTGTCATAGCGCCGTAAAACTCGAAAAAGCTGTTTTCTGATTAGCTGATGTCGACTTCTTGCTAGTCATTTCATTGGTGGTCAACGGTCGCGAAAAGTCGTTCTGGCGTGAACTGTAATGGAATGTCCTTTGATCGTTGTTTCGCGGTTGCTTGTCATGCAGTCTTGTGGAGAGTTTTTTATCACTCTGAAACTCTAGCCCAGGTGTGTAAATCAGTAGAGGAGAATAATGGCTATTTAACCATTATTGAATGTCATCTGAATCTTAAGTTAAATTTCTTTGCAACTTTCCCTTGTTTTGATCTTGCCAATCCGACTCGTATGCATTAAGAAACAGATCATCAAGGGGAGTGTTGCCTATGGGGATGCCTACTTCTTGGATAAAAGTCCTTTCCCAAAATGCCACATGTATGCTATCTATGAGGAAATCCAGCATTTCACAAATTACTTTCTCAGTAAACATCAGATGACATTTACTTTCATTTTTGACAAATTGTCCCAAACCAATGAAGATAGAAATGTAACAATACTACTTAGAGTTTGCTAAGGATCATGTTTTGAAGGTATCAAACAACCATTCAGATTGAAATATCACAGTGCACAATGATTGGGTAACCTCTATGAGAACTCAATTTCATGATGAACGGACAGAGACATGCAGTCATGGGCACGATGAGCACGAGATGCATGAAAACCTGTTATCATTATAACTGAGCACAACAACATTTTCTACTAAGGATTTCAACGACTCAATGCACTTTTGCCCCCTCAACTTCAAAGATGACAGATGCATGCTTGAAACTATGTCAGCACAACGTGACAGCCAAAGTGTGATCAGCAGGGCATGGACTCGGCATCAGGCGTTTTGATCGGCTTCCCAGCGACATGCAAGTGGTCGACAGCCATCCAACGTAGTCGAACGTGACCAGTATGAAGAGGGGCCAAATTATGATTTGGGGTGGGATCAGTAGAGCTGGAAGAACCGGGGCCATATCACGATCGCAGGGCACGATGATAGGTGTGCGTTACAGGGTCGTTTATGCCTACTTAGAGCAGGAGACCATTGTCCGTATGGAATGACCAGCCTGATTACCAGACCTCAACCAATTGAATATATCAAAGGACATTCCATTACAGTTCACGCCAGAACGACTTTTCGCGACCGTTGACCATATATATATATATATATATCGCCCTCTCACGATTTTTCTACGTTTCAGTTTTGGTCAGATACTCTCATTTAGACGTGTGATATCAATCCTTGTTGGTCACATGGGGTTAGTTGATACTGAGTGGCACATGTCAATGGATTTTTGTCCATTACAAACGTCTTCACGCAATATTGTCCTGTTGATCTTCAGGAAACTTTTGAGTAGTGTATATCTATTGGCACCACGTTCAGTAACAATTTCCCCATGGATGAAGGAATGCTGTCGTCTCGTGTGATAGTGGTGTACAAAGTTGAAAAATCAAATGTTTTGAAAAATTTAACTTGGATCTTTTCTGATAATGCCAAATTTCTAAGAGTCCCCGTTGTATTAATTCCATTTGCTTCTACTTGTAAAAATGGGTATTTAAAAATGTTGATTCCCATTTGGTGACACAAATCAAATTAGACAGGTTCTTGAACGCTTAAATGTTATACTCATTGTTATTGACACTTGCCTTGTGGTATCTAAGAAGATGTTTTGAACGGTGTATAAATTTATTACAAGCGGATGAGAACCATTCAAAGTATTTTGTCTTAAAGCATTTAAGGGAACATACATGCTATCGTTTGGTTTGGTTGATGTTTCCCTTTCAAGGGACGTGACAACGGATGGTCAGCTGACGCCTGATTTTTAGCATAATATTGTTTCACAGAATAAGGATGTACTTACCTTCACTGACAACCTCAAGACCACTCCACATGCTTGTCCGGTTTGTGAAGGAAGACGAAGCCGTAAAAACTACAGGAACCCTGCTGAACCCAACAGCCTCCAAAGTGCCTATGGTTAGAAAATTAGTGAAATAACAACAATCTTAATGGTCATTATGCTGTTATGAGCATCCTTCGTATTATCCTGAACAGTAGGAAGTTCCTATTATCATAATGAATAAATACCTGGTACCTGACATGGTATTACATAAAGATTCTCACCCGGATGTCTTTTGATATCTAATATATCAAAATGAGTCAATGAAGGCTTAAAACTCCCGAGTCTTGCCGATCTTAAAAAAATCTTTTATCGACGAGTATTTGTTATCAGGAGACACTATGGTGAAAATCTATTTATCGTCCATTCTTCAAACGTTTTCAGTTTGTAAACAGTAATAACCAGTACGTTAACTATCTTCAGTGGCAGAGTCATCGAACAATAGTTATCATTGTTAATAATTCTAAGAATACTACCTCTATTACACCCTTTGCGAGAAATCCTTATTTTGGCTTTAATCACACTAACTAAATTTTTCAGATGTCCAACAGATGTCCTCTTCACTGTCAATTACACAATTAGTTGTTCCCAATTTTGCACTTTAGCAACCCAAGCTGTGATGTGCGTAATGGCGGGAACCTCACTTCATTCCAACATCTGACCACAAGAGGTTGATGAATTGGGGAGGTGGGTGGGAGTACTTCTGATGTAATGGAGGTAGTATTCTTACAATTATTAACAATGATAACTATTGTTCGATAATTCTTGCGAATCCTCTACCCCTATTACATCCTTTGCCAGAATTTACCACAGGGACCCGGCGTGATCTGCCTCTAGGAACTACCAGTGTAATTGACAGTAATCCTCTTCTGGAAACCATTTAGTCACTGATTCTTATCCTGACTCGAGATAATTTCCTGGGAAAAATCTGGAAGCGATCTTAGAGTGATTGAGGTCCAATGTTGATCATGGGTGAGACCAGAACAGTCCGCAGCATGGACTCTAGCTGCTGTTGGTGTAGTAGAAGGTCCGCTACCATAGGGGTGGATATTGTATTAGCTATAATCCCTTGTCGTCTTCTCCACTGGATGAACATATCCCATCTGTTGTCATATATAAGGGAGGATAAAGGTCTGCATGATCTTGCCACAACTTCCGAGGCAAGTTCAGAGTGCCCGGATGTCTGAATCTTTTGCATGGTAATTTCCAGGCGGTGAGATGTAGGCTGGGCAGGTTCTCGTGGAAAATGTTTGACTGGGGTTGTCTTAACAGATCTCGACGGAGAGGTAACTGGAGAGGTTCTTCCGTTAATAGACCTAATAATCTGGGGAACTATGCTCTACTGGGCCAGATTAGTGCCATCAGGATAACATACAATCCGTCTCCTCCACCTTGTAGATGACCTTGTCTAGTGGGAATGCGTATGCAAATAGACCCATCCAATCCGTCGATCTGGTGAGCCATTGGGTCGGGAACTGGACTGGCATAAAAGTTGATGGTTTTGACAAGTGGCAAAGAGATCTAGATGTGGCATGTCCCATAACGTGGTTATCCAAGCAAAGATCTCGGGATGTAAGGTCCATTCTGTTGCCACTGTTCTGCCCTGGCGGGAAAGGCTGTTGGCAAGGATGTTCAGCTTTCCGGGAATATGGCTCGCTTCCATCCGGCAACTGATGGAGTCTGCCAAGGCAAACAATCGTGTAGTCTCCATCATCAGAGAACTGGATCTGGTTCCTCCTTGTTTGTGAATGTATGCCACTACTGTGGTGCTGCCCGTGGCTATGAGGATGGATGATTGGGAGAAACGTATCTTCCATGCAAGGATGGCGTTTGTCTGTAGAGGACGTAACATCAACCTTCATCTGAAAGTCATATCCTGTAGAGACGTTAGGTTGCCTAGAAAAGACATCCACCACCTTAGAGGGTTGACTTGATAGGGATTGAATCATCGTAATAGTCTTGACGAATCGATCTTCTGGTGGACATAGTGTCTTGAACTGGGAGTGGTCTCGGACTTGTAGGGATTGACTAGGAATGCGCATAAATCAAACATACTATAAACATTGCTTAGGGTTAGTTAGTAAATTTGGAATCATGAGAATTGTTCAAGAACTTACCAAGAACTACCAATCCTGCATTGTGTGAATTAAATATAACGTTGACCCCCGGCTGGAATTGTTACATGTCCTGATGGTCGAATGTAGATCACTGAGTTTATAACATATGGACTTTGACTCGGCAGCCATTCTTCTGTGTCCTGTTAGAGAAAATGGTTTATGTTTACAATACTATCAACGCAGTCCCATTTGAAGAAGGGGTTGTTTAATGTGTATAAATGTGAATGTCACTGCTTCCGTACGTGTTTTCATAACCATAAGCTCACTGTGCAGTTCATGGACGTCATATTTTATTCGCTTCCAATTTACTGTTGAGAAATATATCTGGCATATGATGTGTTTACATTGAACATCAAGTAACTGATAATCAAGGAAACATTAACATTCCTTAAATGACCTTGATGAATGCCGAGGAGGGTGTCAAGGTCAGTAACCAATTGTCAAATATTTCAGTGATCAAAGAGACGATGGTGTATTTTAGGAATTGGTTCAATTCAAGGCCAAGATCACCTGATCACTATGAAACCAACATATAACTTCTTTAACTTCTTTGAGAGACATTAACTAATCCTTTGGAAGTTGGATTACTAAGTAAGGGACCCGTGAAGATTCCGGGGTAGAATAGGTCTTCAGCAACTCATACTTGCCGTAAAAGGCGACTATGCTTGTCGTAAAAGGCAACTAACGGGATCGGGTGGTCAGGCTCGCTGACTTGGTTGATACATGTCATCGATCCCAATTGCGTGGATCCCAATCACTGGATTGTCTGGTCCAGACTCGATTATTTTACAGACCGCCGTCATATAGCTGGAATATTGCTGAGTGCGGCGTTAAACAACAAACCAAGGATTGGATTTAAGGATGAACAACTTCTTTATTACAATTAGGAGCGACGTTTCTGTGTAGGTTCTAATCCTTCATCAAAGCGGGAAGCAACATCATCAGGCTGATTACTGATAATATAACGTCGTTATTGATGCAGCTAGATACTGAAGGTGTCCACGGTTTGAAAAGGTTAAAGTGACATTTAATCTTTTAACTGATTTCCATGGGCTATTTTAAACCTAGTGGGATCAACACTGAATAAACGTAGAATATTTAGATGTGATGACACCCGGTGTCTTTGGGGCTTTGGGGCTTTGACTTAATAAACAAGTTTTAAAATTTTAAAAAAAAATTGTGTGTGTGTGTGTGTTTGTGTGGATGTTTGCGTGCCTGCTTGTCTACACATAAATAATTGCTGTACCATTAAATTATGTTGTTCTTTTTTTTAAATAGCCATGGCTTGTTGACTAATCCATTTTCTTCTTGAAATAAAATACTGCTTCAACCACACACATTGGTTTCTCTTTCTACTCAATGCCCTTGTTTGCCCATACATAGTTGAGCGTTGTAACACCATCTTCTCGAGGCAAGGGAGTGAACTGACTATACAAGTCCAGTTACCACCCTTGCCGAACTAGGCTGGTATTGTGGAGTTACATTTTGGCTGGACTAACGAGTCTATGCATAGTCCAATCAAAATCGAGCACCCAAATCGAAATCCCGTTTGTAAACTGTCGTGCAGATTTCGGTCGATTGCAGGATTTGCAAAGCATGTGCACCTCCAACTCGTTGTCAACAGATATTTTCCGAGTCTTTTCACGTTTTCAATCAAGGTGCTCACGTGATTTGATGCACTTCGCGAGGTAAAACCCGTTTTATCACAATATAGATCTTGATAATCGAGGGGATCTTCTTGACTGGGCGCCGCCATTTTGATTGAAACAAATGCAAGTGATACGAGAGGTGGAATCCGATCAGTCCATAGGAGAGGCTTATAGAGGACATAACTTGTAATAACCTCTGGTGGCGCTACGAAGGAATTCGAGCCTAGTTCGGCAAGGGTGGAAACTGGACTTCAATGGTCAGTTAACTCCCTTGCCTCGGGAAGATGTGTAACACATGCATGTGGAATTGTTTTGCAGATAGATCTAGCTTATGAAGTTTGTATTGTATTGTAAATAACAAAATTATCGTTTACTGCCCACAATGCTGTATACAATATTATAAGTTATGGTGTATTTTGGTTGCCATATACGGTGTCATATTAGGTAAGCAGACAATTGTGCGGTATTATCATTTATTGTGCCGAAAAATGTACACTATCTGGTATATTTATAGCCCATGCAATGTCAAAATAAAATCTTGACACCTACAGTACATATGTTTCCGATACTATTAGGGTAACGCTATTTTTCAGGGCATTATCATTTGCAGAAGTCTGAGGTCTTCCATTAACTGCCAGACGAAGTCAAGATGGCAGTGAACTCAACCAAAAATGACTTCATGTTCTAAGGTAGGCATACCTTGGTAAATACAGAGGTAAAAAGTTCAGTGGCTGCCCGTGTATTACCTCTATGTCCTGGGATACGACTGTATGTCTGACGGAGATCTGTTCCTCTGCTTCACATCCATACAACTCCAAGCGAAGTCCAACATAGGAATTGTATGTCCTCATTGTTGGCAGGTACGCTAGGTACCTGGCCTGAAATTAAAAATGTGCCCAATTCCAGAATAATTTTGTATTTTTTGTTGTGTGCATTAAAGTACTAGTATATAAAAGTTTTATTGTCTTTTTCTTTCTTTATGACTGCAGGCGATTACGACCGATGTATATTATGTAGCTCAACCAGCAACATGATGGATGGGTTGCTGTACTCTGTATTTTTATGGTTGTATCGCATAAATAAGAACTGGTCAGCCTAACAGATTGCATGATCAGCTATCTGCAATGGGATGAGAGATGATATAATCAGCCACTTCCGGTCCTGGTTTTACGTATGACGAGTAAAGGAGGCACGGACCTATTCAGCCTTCACAGGAGATGTTATAATAAGTATGGAAACATGTGTATCAGTAACCGCATCATGGACACCAATTCTGATGGTGTTGAAAGGTTATGCATATGTCATCCACACAACACATTTATTTGAAGTTGAAACTATTCCTTCATAATTCAAATTTGCGCTCCCACCTTGATGAGGTCATTTATTTGACGATGTTATTTTTTGGAGGGAAGTGTCAAGTAAGTTGTTACCCATAGATGTAGCTTGGCAACGCAGATAAATGCAGTGGCCCAACGATCGTATCCAAAAGTGGGAGGGATATGACAGCCGGTATTTGGAGAAAAGATACCAAACCTGACCCACCTGTTTGTAAAATACCTTGTCCGATATTCCCGAGGCAGGATTCTATTCAGGGAGTCATCGTTATTTTGGGTATTTATTTTTAAAGCTTGAACAATGTATCAACATCCTTAAATAGGCTGTACATAATGTTGAAATCTCATATAAGAAATAAAGAGCTGCGCCCCTCATGGTTTATTCTCTCTGTAGAGTTGTATGTGTAGGATAGAGCACGTCCGAGAGTTTTATATTTAAAACACACATAAAACCAAATGGGAGTGTTTTATCTAACTTACTACAACTAATATCAACATTTTTATTTAACTGTGTTTCAAACATAGTTTCCATGAACTTAAGGAAACGGGCGTAAAATATATGTTGTTGACGAAGGGTTCTTGAAAAAGACATTCTAAAAAGCACTCACTGGGCACAGATACGAAGGTTGCGTGTTCGATCCTCGGGAATATACAGAAAACATTGTCATTTGATTTTAAGTTTCAAAACATATTACAATCTGAACGGAAGTTGTATTAATAAAATACCCGGGATAATATTTTAAATTATATAGCAAATATGCCTGGAATATCTTATAACATCCTGGGGATATTATATAAAATCCAGCGGACATTACAACATCCCTGTTTATTCGATTTCACCCGACTGGAGAACAATAGGATGACGTCACTCGGGGTTTATAATGTAAGATAAACAACGTCCACTAGTTGTTTATTTCTTAAATGGGACATGGTATTGTCTTAAGAGTTTGTTCAGATATGCCTCATCCAATATTTAGCAATATCATCATCAATGGTCTGCCTTACCTGCTACTGGAAGCCAAAAGTATATATCTATTCACAGGCATCATGATATGGACTATATGGCTTAACAGAGAGACCAGTCGTCTAACTGTGTGCAAAGCAAACCAATTGTCAAGACAGATTTGCCAAGCATCTTTCCACATTAAATCGTATTTAAAATCAAATTTCGCTCCTTAACCAACTACTAAATTTTAAAACAACCTATACACATTAAAAATTACTTGATTACATTGCACACAGAGAGAGAGAGACAGGGTGTGTGTGTGTGGGGGGGGGGGGGGGGGGGATTGGCAAGACAGAAATATACCTGTATAGTAGGCTTCAACTCGTGTTTCAGAACAGTCTGAGAATCAGGCGGTCCCTCCAGTTCCTGTGCCCCACTGCTGGTTACATATCTCTTCCAGGCAAGACTATCTTGGCTGTAGAAGATGTAGACTGATTTGGGAAACCAGCCACGTTTGCTGCCCTGGACTGAGAAGCCCGTCACCCTATGTTGAGTTAACAGGTCAACCTTGAGGTATTCTGTACCCTTTTGGTCGACATTCCAACCGTCTGAAACAATAGTCAGTAGGTGCAACGTGTTTGTCACGAATTGTACCTACGGTAGTCACAATAGTGTCAAGGACCTGTACTGTTAAGCTCATCCATGTCCGCGATGGCATATATGCACGTTTCACACGAATTGATTCCTTGTCTTACTATTTAAATAATACAATCTGTAAACAATCTGCAACCAGAATATTCGAAGGAAATATGCGTGTTTCTTAACCAAGAATGCATTACATATACCAAGCGATTAAAATCACCGAAATCATCATTATTTTGAGTATGCAAAGGCGAGAACAAACGCATGCAAGCAAGCGATAGCTACTTTGAACGTATTTCCTTATTGTTGATTTTGATGGTAGATACTGACAGCAAACTTTTATTATTTCCTGCATATATTTTCTTTTTTTCCCTGCATATATTTTCAAAGTGACAGAGGATTAAAAAACGTCAAGATATGCAGCCGTTTTCTTCATTAACAACTTCACTTAACTGACAGTTTCGTAGATCCTAAGTAATTTTTCAAAACACAACGGTTGTTATATAAAATAAGTACTACGCCAGTAAAGCTATATTGATTATAATTATAGTCAACAAATTCAAGTGTAAGGACAGCCACTTTTAATAAGTTGTTTCCGGCAAATTGTAGACAGTATCAGTGATAAACGAGACTTCCTCTGTAAAACTCCCTCACCTCCAACATTGAGCCTCGCCTGTTGTGCTTGCCATGGGGATGAGGCTGACAACTGATCATCAGTGATGTTGCCATTCTCGAAACCAAGTGCTGCATTACATTCAGTTGACAGTGCCAATGCTGCAATAAAGCGGAAAATATATAACTTGATTATTTTGGAATAACGATTATAACATATACTAAATATGTTCATCATAAAACATAACCGTGGGAGCATTCAGTCATCACTCTTGCCACACAACAACGCCCTCTACTACTGCAGCAAGCCCAGGATCACACAGAGTATGTCATGGCTAGCGATAGAGAACTGTTTGGTTCAGTGACGGGTCAAGATTTATCGTGCTGATATTTAACTGACTACAAGAGTCCACTTTCCACCCTTGCCGAAGTAGGCTTGTATTATGGAGTTACATTTTGGCTGGACTAACGAGTCTGTGCATAGTCCAATCAAAATCGCGAAACGAAAACGAAACCCGGTTTGTAAACCATCGTGCAGTTTTCGGTCGATTGCAGGATTTACAAAGCATGTGCACCGCCACATCGTTGTCAACAGATATAATCAAGGTGCTCGCGTGATTTGATTCATTTTGCTGTGTAAAACCCGTTTTATCACAACATAGATCTTGATTATCGATGAAATCGTCTTGACTGGGCGCAGCCATTTTGTTTGAAGCAAATGCAAGTGAAACGAGAGGTGGAATCTGATAGGTCATAGGAGAGTCCTAGAAGGAACATAACTCGTAATAGCCACTGGTGGCGCTACGATCGAGCCCAGGAATTCCAGCATAGTTCGGCAAGGGTGGAAACTCTCTTGCCTCGGGAAGATGTATTCAGATAGGATGTCTTTAGAATTTTTAATCCTTCCTTTCTCTGTGGGAAGCCAACAAACCAGTTCATGCATTTTATGTTTAAGGACGACAATCCGTGTTTATCTGTGAAAAATTCAAGATTGTGACATGACAGTGAACTACACAAGTGACGATGGGTTTTTATATTCATAGTATTATAGTTTGTTAAATTGTAAATAAAACTGTAAACTAAATTATTTATATATTCATTGGGGAATAGTCCATGTTGGGAAATGTATTATGAAGAATGTGTTTTCACGTCAACATGGTGGTTACATCCTAACTTTAATAAAACTTTAATTCATTTGTCATATTTGTCCTCACTGAAAGTGATGATGAACATTTTGCCTTTTCATTTTCGTTTTTCTGTGACCTTTTGTGATGAGAGGTGCTTGCAAAATCCACAAATAAAAACATTTTTGATATCTTGATACTGTAAATTCAGTCTTTATTCTTTCAGAGCCACTTTATGAGAGTTGCTTGCAATTTGCCCACATGACAACATAATTAATAGAACACCTTGTTACTGTAATTAGGTGTCTATTCATTCAGTCGCACTTTGTGCTGTGAGGTGATTGCAAATAGCGACAAAACGTAAATACTTTGTCAACTGGTGACATAACAGTACTGTTTACCACTCGCAACAACGCCATCGATCGACTGAAAACAGGAGAATCATCTTCAGCTTTAGACAGTTTTTTTCCACTCTAATGACACACGAAACACGGGACTTTCACAGCACCACTGCAGCAAAGGACAGGTTCATAAGCCAACGTAGCCATCGTCAAAGAGCGAACCCTTCAGCTACGGCAATACCAGGATTGCGTAGGAAATCAGCCTAGGCAGTGAGGAAGTGTTTAGCGCTGAAGTTATTCACGCTAGACGTCCAGTTCGAGATGTCTTTTGACGGACCTACATGTACATCATCGGCTGTGACGTCAAAGGTGTCATGGTCCCATAGTATGGCCACAACTGTGGTTCAGTGTTTGGTTCAAGTTTGGTTCAGTGACGAGACAAGTTCGGATGGTAGCCGTCGTGTTTACAAGCACAGCGTAGACGCTGTCTGCACCACTGTAGACGTGTTTGACGGTGGTTTCCTGTCAAAATGTGACGTCTGGAGGGTCTTCTGGCGACAGTCTCTGCACATCTAAGGCGACGACGTACGGTTCGTGAAGATATTCGTCGAAGGCCAGGGATGCTTCTTGCAGTCACTGTTGCTGGCTGGAATCAATTTCGTAGGTGTGTTGTTCGAGTCCAGTTGTCTTGTCGAATATTGGTTACGCGTGGCGTGCCATTCCGAGGATGGTCTCTGACTGCATTCGTTTGTTGCCAACGTTGCCATAAACACCAAATGGTGGACGGTAAATTGTCTTGCAACATCACGTTGACTCGATCCTGCTTCAAGCATACCAATTGCTCGCAGACGCTCATTTTCGGACAGGCGTGGCATTTCGTAATGTTGAATAATTGCGTATTTTTTTATTTTTTTTGAGTGGTTGTTGTCAGCACGATGCTAAACAATGCATATGGAATCCCGTTAACGCACATGCTTTTATACCCATTCTTGGGTAGTGAAATGCATGGGGCTTGCATAAAAGTCATCTTTTGCATTGAATGCATGCTTTTCTGTAGCAGTTGCGTTTTTATGACTTGATTCCATACATGTACTACAATACTGAAAACCAAACTTTACTTGTTTGAAAAATACACTAAGATATTGGTGTCACTGGGACTTTTGTTGTTGAGTATATAAGAGATTAGAAGATGGCATGTAGAAACCTCGAATGACGACAGCAATGCTTGAAGTAACACCCTGGTCTGGGCTATTCTAACAGTGGCAATGAGCAATTGCTGCAAGCCACTGGAGCGTGTGCGCTCAGGAAGTTATAATCACCTAAAAACCTGCTGTTTAGCGCATGAGGTGAGGTGAAATTGGGTTTAACGTCGCGTCCAAGCTTATATAGCGACATATAGTGTGTGTGTGTGTGTGTGTGTGTGTGTGTGTGTGTGTGTGTGTGTGTGTGTGTGTGTGTGTGTGTGTGTGTGTGTGTGTGTGCGCGTGTGTGTGTGCGTGTGTGCGTGGATGTGGATGTGTGCGTGCCTGCGTGTCTTATATAAATAATTGCTGTACCATTAAATTATGTTGTTCTGTTTTGGCCTGTTGACTAATCCATTTTCTTCTTGAAATAAAATACTGTTTGAACCATACACATTGGTTTCTCTTTCCGCTCAATTTGCCCATACACAGTTGAGTGTGTGTGTGTGTGTGTGTGTGTGTGTGTGTGTGTGTGTGTGTGTGTGTGTGTGTGTGTGTGTGTGTGTGTGTGTGTGTGTGTGTGTGTTTGTGTGTGTGTGTGGGTGTGTTGGTTGGTGTGTGGGTGTGGGTGTGGGTGTGAGAGAGAGAGGTTGCTTGCACCAGTCCGGACTGATGCCGATTTATAGTGCTAGCACATGGAGATATAATGCCGCAGTTTAACATGGATACCCCACTCAGACACAGTATACTGACTCCGAGCCGACCAGTCCCTGTTTTAGCCATTTAATGCCGAGCGCCAGGCCAGTACCATCTTTTAACGTCTGGTTGGTATGACGCGGCCGGGGAACGAACCCCGGACCTTCCGCTCTCCGGGCGATGCTCTACCACTAGACCACGGAGGCGGTCTTTCAGCGCATGAGAGAGGCATGTTTCTAATGCATCCCAACTATTCATGTTGACTAGTGGTGTGGAAATTATGAACTCGGCCACGACATTTTGTTTTGGCACAACAAATAATATACGACAAACGCAAACCCAAGTTTGTTCATCTGAATGGATAGACTCCACAAAAACCAACTCGACCTACAAGAAGCCTCTTGGTGAGCAATGCATAAACCAGTCGTCAATAGCGAGGCATACTTATAAATAAATATACAGTTTAACAAGTGAACTAAACTTGCATAACTGGTTAGGAGCAAGTTCTTTCATAATATTCTTTAAAGAATATATTTGATTCTTTGTCTGGAAAGCTGCTTTGTAGAGTTTGTGTATATGGCCCATTAAATAAAAATCATTGTTGTTTTTCGTCCATGCATGTTCTTATTCATAAGCTATATGCAGTTATAATCTACAGTTTGACTACCTCAAATTTCAAAGCACAGTAGGTTTAATTTCATTCTACCACAAAATCAAGAGTACTTTGAAAACGATGCTTTCTTTGAACGCATACTTACACATGGGCAAATATGCCAGCAGTCTTACCTATACTCTTTATTTCGGAAAATATAGGCCAACGGCCAATGTTTACATTCGATTACATGAGTGAGTGAGTGAGTTGGGTTTAACGCCGCTTTTAACAGTATTCCAATTATATCACGGCGTGGCAGCTTAATGTGGGAGGAAAGCCCGAAGTGATGCAGGTCTCAGACGTTTACTACTTCGGTGAAACCCATGCGCACGGGTATGGTGCTGACGAACCTAGAAACATAATCGGGGCAAACCGGGATTCGAGCCCACAATCATAGGTGTCTGGCGTGCCCAAGGGACGCAACTCTGCACAGCGAATCGCGGCGCCCGTGCTCCCTCGATTACATGACGTGTAGAATAAATACAACATATTTATATAAACAAAATTGACAAGATAGAAGATTTTAGACATATCCTCAGAATTATTTTACGTAGGAGTATAAAAAGGATAAAGTTCATAGCTACATTTTGAGTCACGTACCGTTTCTTGTGGTCATTGAATTGGAAGATAAAATATATTCTTATCAGGAAGAAGGCAAAACGTTTCTTGTATATATTTTGTACGTAGATGCAGAGCAAACTAATAGGAAGTGATATTCATCCTCAATATATCTATATTTGCAACATTTACATGATCGACCGCTTTACGGTATATTAACATATCTACCAGTTTCAGTATGCAGTTGATGCAGAAAACATCGAAATTGTGCCAGGGCCACTTTGAATTTATTGATAGATATACAATTGAGGTACAGCTCTGTTCGAAGACTAAGTTTAAACAATCAATATGATGATGTTTTAGTACCGTTTTAGAGCATGCTGTGCCAATTCTGTTCATAGGTATATTTTAGGCGTGACGTGAATTCAGATAAGAAAGATTTTGGATGGTGAATATACTGCTGTTCCCATAAACATAAAACCAAACCAAGTAGGATATATTTACATTTCGAAACCCAGTTGTGTTTGCCTTTATTAGATGCCTGTAACATCATGCTGTAACACTGTATAGATAACGTGAGTCAGGCATAGAGATAAGCTTCAGCCAGTAACTAATACATCTTTTATATTAAGCATTAATAGATGATGGATATCGGCCGCACTCTCCACACACGATGTGGTTAGGGGTAGACATCTTAATACCAAGAAAGTACATTTGATATTTGTAAATATGTACATGTGACGAGAAGAAATTCATGTTCTTTACTTTATAAGGTTTCTCTAATGTAACAGGGTAACTGATAGCTGAATCGTTATTTTCAAATAAGTAAGTCCAACTTACGAGAGAGTTAAGTAGCTTCGGAATAGATTAGTTGTAACTACGACAAAGCTAAGTTGTTTTGTTTGTTGTTAAACGCCGCACTGAGGAGTGAGTGAGTGAGTATGATTTTATGCAGCGATATCACGGCGTTGTGACGAGCTAACGCTTTAACCACAAGGCTAACCTACCGCCCCCCGCACTGAGGAATCCCCACAGGGGAGCTAGGTTGTAATTACACAAGAACGTTGAGGCGTATTAATGACATGCAAATGTTAGTCGAACTTACAAGAGAGGTACCACCAAAAAATAATGAAAATAATATAAAAATCCTACAAGAGAGGTACGTAGTTATTACGGGATAGTGATGTCGTAATTATGGGAAAAGTAAAGGAAAATATTGACATTAAGTGCAACACTTATACACCGATGGGTTATACCGGGCTGCACCATTGTCACACTAGATATAAGTGCTCAGTGCGTGGGCTTCAAACGTCCAAACGGTATATATGAGTGCGTGAGTATGGTTTTACGTCGCTTTTAGCAATATTCAAGCAATATCACGGCGGGTGACACCAGAAATTGGCTTCACACATTGTACCCATGTCGGGAATCGAGCCCGGGTCTTCGGCGTGACGAGCGAACGCTTTAACCTCTAGGCATAACGTGTGCATAGTGGATTTATAACGAATTTATAACGCATGCATATACGTTTTCGTAACATGTTCAGAACGAATAACATCTTACTGCTGTGTGATTGGCATTCTAGAAAAAGTAAGAAAACGTACAACTTTAAAACTTTGTAATTGTTGTTAACTGGGGCATTGAATGTTGTGACCTTGAACAGACAACTTCTGAACATGCTCAATCGTACTTCAAGAGTTAAATGTAGACACCAAAAGTTGGAGCTGCTGGAATATTGCTCGTCATAAAGGGAAAGTTGATTATTGGAAAGTTGAAGTCATCCCTCTTGCCATACAGACTTGTGGAGAGTGTTCACAGATCTGAACAACGATTACATACACGTTTACCGTTATTACAACATACCTGTGTGATGTGCTACATCTATCCAAAGTACGATTAATCTGAACCCAAGTAGGCCTCCGCTAAACACGACATTAATGCACAGATCTGAACAACGATTGCATGTTGATTTACCGTTTTTAAAACATACCTGTGTGATGTGCTACAGCTATCCAAAGTACGATTAATCTGAACCCAAGTAGGCCTCCGCTAACACACGACATGATTCAATGAGCGTAGAAGCGTAATACCGCAATCCTGTCGCAACGACAATGGCGTCGTTGTTTCCCACCTGTATGTCCGTGTCCTCGCCTGGGTTGTTTTCTAGATCAGCTAATCCAACATCTGTACCAGGAAGTAAGTAATGAATCCATGTGTTGATAATGATACTTAGCCGGTAATGATACTTATCCGGTAGGATACGGTTTCCTAACAAAACCATTTCCACATTCATAAGAAATATCTGCCTGAAACAGAGTCGATTGTACGATTCCGGCTATATCACGAGCATGTGTTTAAGAATCACTATCAAATAGTGAGGATACCAGGTGTTTGTGAAAAGGTGATCGTATCCTACCTTACCGGTCGGACCCGTCACAAACACATGCAAAAGCATGTCAATTGTTCACCTGAAAAATCACGGGAACATATGTTAAAAGTCAAAATAGGGAATTGCATCGGACATAATTTTTGTCACTGGTGCGTCCAATTTGGAAATGTCATCCACGGGTCGACCATAAAACTTTTTGAAAGCTTCTGTGGCGCCTTGAGTATTGTAACGTTGATCCAACAATTTCTGGGCAAGAGTTGTATGACGTTCATTGAAATCTTGGAAGAAAGAGCATGCTCCATTGTACCTCTAAAGTTGTGAAATGCAAACACCGAAGGTTGGAGCTGCTCCAATAGTGCTCGACATGAAGGGAGAGTTGACTATTGGAAAGTTGACGTCTTTTGAAGAGCGTTTTGTCACTCTGATTCTTCATGCATATGTTTATACCCGTGCTCGTGGGTTTCACCGAAGTGTAATCGTCTTAGACCTGCATCACTTCGGGCTTTCCTCCCACATTGAGCTAACATGCCGTGATATAACTGGAATACTGTTAAAAGCGGCGTTAAACCCAACTCACTCACTCATGCATATGTTTAAATTTGAAACAGACGAGGTCTCACTGGTCTCTTTATTTCTAGTTCAGGTTCGGGTAGCCCAGTGGTCATAGCGTTCGCTCGTGACGCCGATGACCCGGGTTCGATTCCCGACATGGGTACAATGTGTAAAGACCATTTCTGGGGTCGTGATATTTCTGGGGACACGGGTGGCCCAGTCGTCTAAGGTGCCGCGATTCGCTGTGCAGTTGCGCCCCTTGGGCACGCCAGAAACCTATGATTGTGGGTTCGAATCCCGGTTCGCCCCGATTATGTTTCTAGGTTTGTCAGCACCATACCCGTGCTCGTGGGTTTACCGAAGTGGTTAACGTCTGAGACCTGCATCACTTCGGGCTTTCCTCCCACATTAAGCTGACACGCCGCGACATAACTGTAATACTGTTAAAAGCAGCGTTAAACCTAAATGACTCACTCACTCAAGGGAGGGAATGTACGGGAGATGTTTGGATGGAGGAAGTAACTTCATTGGCATGAAAGAATCTGATGCCCTGCGTAATGGAGGTGATGGTCTGACATTCAACAGAGAAATAGTCTTTTTGCTGAGATCTGTAAAACATCACAAAGCAGGGTTCATCTGTCTGCTACCATCATGTTAGACAATACAAGAGAGGGGATTTACGGGAGCTATAGGGATGAAGGAAGTAACTTAAGTAACATACCAAGCTCGTTGGTTTAAACAAGTGGTAAACGTCTATTTTGGTAGGGTTACTTGGCATATAGGTAGGTGTTAATCATACCACAGGAGAAGAAATGGTTCTTGTCCTAATTGAATGGGTGAATAGTGGCAGCTATATCACCGCGATCGGTAAACATGTGGTCGATAGTACACATGCGGACAGATGTGATGACACATAAATCAACCAGCTGACATCATGACCACCTGTCCTACAAAAAGACGCTAAAAGATGGTACTTCTTGTTACCCTGCCTGGCGCTCAGCATTAAAGGTGCTAAAATAACGACTGGTCGGGGTCTGAATGGGGTATCCTGAAAAAACTGCGAAATGGAATGTCATTGAGCAAGCACTATAAAAACAGATTAGTACGAGCAGCCATAGACACTGGGGCTAGCACGTCACTACATAAGTGCAAAATCTTAGCACTACCTTAAACCTCACCTCACCTCACCTCACCTCACCTCACCTCACCTCACCTCACCTCACCTCACCCACTATATAATGGGTAGGTGATTCGGCTGGATATGGGCAACGTATACAAACGGTATTCGTTGGGTTCATTTACGAATAAACATGCAAATAAAAATGGAAGTACTACTTCCAGAGCTTACAGACAAACATGGCATCGTCCTTGTCTATGGGCAATGGGGTCAGGCGGTTTTTAATTAAATATTTAAGTACATATACGAATGAATGGTAATTATTAGTATATTTGGAGAAAAAAACTAAAATTGTAATGTTCAGAAAAGGTGGTCCAATAACGTCAAAAGAAAGATTGCCATTCAATGGTCAGTTTGTCAATACAGTAGATCACTATTCATATTTAGGAATCACGTTCTCACACACAATGAATTGGAGAAAATGTGCCCTTGACTTGTCCTTGCGTGCAAAGAAAGATTTAATAAGTGTAATGTCTATTGCTCATAAAGATGGAACGATGTCACCTAATATCTTCTTTAGTTTTTTGACACCCAGATACAACCAATTTTATTGTATGGTTCTGAAGTATGGGGATTTCAACGTTATGACTGTTTAGAGAGGGTTCACTTATTAGCATGTAAAAAGTTTCTTTGTGTCGGATCGTCTACACGAAATTATATGGTTTATGGTGAATGTGGTAGATACCCATTATATATTAACTCTAAGATGTGTAAGATACTGGTTTAAAAATCTGGCAATGGTAGACTCAGACATAGCCAGGAAACTCTTGGCCGACGAACTGATAACAAATATTCATTGAAGCACACTGTTACGTCATATGTAAATAGTCTAAGACACAGACAATCACTGCCTAAATTCTAAAAACAAGTTTAAATTGGAACCATACTGCCTGTTGTCACGATCGAACTGACTGCTGACCTTGTGACATAATATAAAAATGCGCACATTTATGTGAGCGATGACTCTACGTTTTCCGACCACAGAACTGTAGGCTAGCTAGATGCAAAGTTTATTCCTAATAGAGCATATGTACCATCCCAAAACACAAACGTGTGACACCCTCTGTGTTCTGTAGCAGCCTCCAGTCACCCTGCCTCACCGCATGGAGCTGCACGCGTGCCAGAATTCTATGATGGGTTTTGAAGATTTGACCTGATGAGTGAGTTACCCGACCGCCCCTTGCCCTGATGATTCTTGGTGTGTAGCCACCATGAGAGTGCTTCTTGGTTTTTCCAAAGAACTAACACTTGCATCACACATTAAGTTATACCCATTGATACACCAACACCTGTTCAAAGTGGGTGAAAGCATTAAACCCAACTCACTCACTTTGCTGCCCGAATGTTTCCACACCTTCCACAACAGTAATTGTGTACTTAGCCCATATCTTTAGTACCAAGTCATACTGCAGTATGTTATTAAAGAGGTGAGATTATACTCATTCATTACTCTCAGTAGATCCGGGGTGGACTAGGTCTTCAGCAACCCATGGGTGTCATAAGAGGCGACTAATGGGATGGGTGGTCAGGCTCACTGACTTAGTTGCTGGATGTCAGCATATCCCAATTGCATGGATCGCTGGTCATGTCGCTGGTCATGGTGTCAATCACTGGATTGTCTGGTCCAGACTCGATTATTTACAGACTGCCATCATATAGCTGTAATATTGCAGAGTGCGGCGTTAAACAAGAAAAAAACAAAAAAACAGTACATTCCATGTAAAAATAGGAATATTCAAAACTCCATGTAAATACTTTCATTTAATTTTACATCACAACCACAACAACATTTCAGTCTATTTTCCAATTTTATTTCATTCATCGGTTGTCTATACAGCAATAAAATAGTCGACTCAACAACAAATAACATTATAGAGTAATAGTATGCTTCTGTAGATCATGACACGAAAACAATGGAAACAAAATCACACAATAATACTCCTTCCTGTCAACTATTCTCAAACAATGAATGTACATTAGAGCTGCATACATATAAAGTTTGAATCAGATTCCTCAAGTAATAACAAACTGATATAATTCAAATTGTAAAATTTCAAAAGAAATAATGGAAAGCTGCAAATATTATTACGACGTAATAAGCGCCCAGGGCGCTCTCAAAATTACAAATAGCTGACTCTCATTAGAATATTATTTTGGTGGAAAAAACAGAGTTGAAAGATAAATTTCGTGGTTTATGTATGACAGATATATTTTTCCAGAATTTAATTGCCAAAAATTAAGGGTGCATATAACACACGTTGCGTATTATACGCGAATATAAAAGTCTTGTGTACATATATCAATCGGAAGGGGTGCTAATTGGGATTGTTCACTAGCTAATATGTTAGCAATTATCGCCATGGGCACTTATTATGTCCAATACGGTATATTTCAAATCTTGTCATCAAATGACTAAACATGGCATGTGCCGGTGAGGATTGATTGACAATGCCTATAAATATAATTCTGCAAGTGGGAATATTGTCCTATTCTTTGATTGTGAAATGAAAACTGTTCAACACCAATCAAGACAAAAATGTATTTGTCGTCATGGACAATCAAACAAAAATACACAAAACTGTACAAGAATCAATCTCTGTGGTCAATTAAGATTGACTAACTCTTTCAGTAATCATAACAAACCTACAATATCCTTAATTAATTAAACATAATATGCACAAAGAGCAAAAATAGTATCGCAAGCCGAAATACAGTGTAATCCTGCTAGCTCCATCAACTGGCAATAGCACTAGTGAGCACTATGGTCTAACGTAAGCATTTCATTGGAAAACTTGATATAATTCTGGTTTTTCGGGGGATTTGATAAGATGTCATGGTGACAAAATGCCCACAAACCACAACAAGCATCATTTTGAGCAAATAGTTCTTCCTCCATCTGAGCTGCCTCCTTACTGGTTTACATCTCCATGCTTTCCTTGTGCCAGGTAAAATGCCCTTCATCACTTGCTTCAGATGCAGGAACAGTGTCACAGGGTCATGGACAAATCCTGCCAATCATTCTCATGTGGTAAT